GGTTTTGGATCGGTTCATCCCTGGCACCACCAAGGTTGATGCACTGAAGAAGATGTTGTTGGATCAGGTGAGCAGGAGAACAGTGGGGAGGGTGAGCTGTCTTGGGGGTAGGTGGAGATTTAAGAACTCACAGGACTTGAATTTCTCTTCCCTAGGGTGGCTTTGCCCCATGTTTTCTGGGGTGCTTTCTCCCACTGGTAGGGGCACTCAATGGACTTCCAGCCCAGGACAATTGGGCCAAACTACAGCGGGTGAGCCGGACAGGTGTGGAGAATGTCTTTGGCTGGCAGGCTGACAGCCCAGGGGAAGGAGACAGGTTTCACCAGGATAAAAAGGGGCAAGTGGAGGTTGAGTCCTAGGCCATGGAGGGGAGGAGCTGAGGGCATGGTGCAGGAATGTGTTCTTTGAACAGACATCCATGTGTGACGTTCACACTGGGAAGTGGGAGCTGCTTGGAGGTGCAAGTGTTAATTTGTTCCTTCTCTGTCTCTCCAGGATTATCCTGATGCCCTTATCACCAACTACTATGTAAGAGCTGACACCCCAACTGCTTGTTCTCCTGCTTCCTTAAGTCTAGAACTATCCTGGGATTGGGGGTCCTCCTGACATGGAAAACCTTTCCATTGGGATTCCTCTTTCATTCCCAGGATGGGCACCGTAATTAGGGAAGCCATCACCCAATTGTTCGCCTTCTTCTTGTGTGCAGAAGTTGGGGTAGGGCCGGGAAAGACAGTTAGTTTGGGGTCAGGTGGTGGGGCAACCATCCAACCTTTACCTTCTCTCTCTTGCAGCTATGGCCTGCTGTGCAGTTAGCCAACTTCTACCTGATCCCGCTTCATTACAGGTATGCCGCACCCCTACCCCACCTATCAAGGAAGACCCACATTAGCAACAGTTGGAGAGAACATGATTCTCATTTCAACCTTGAGCTACTTTAGACCCCCAACCGGAATGCTGAGCCCTGATCAGAGCTCCTCAGCTTCCCAAGCATGTTATTAAGAATGTCTTGCCATTCCAGAAACTGTCCCAGAATATCTTCCCATTAACCTTCTTCATCTCCCTAGGGAGGATCCTGCTTCCACTACCCTTGTCTCCATCCCACCTGAGCTCCGCACTTGATGGCATATCTGCAGGGACAGTGCCTGGGGTGCTGCTGCCTAGGTTAGACAGGTAGACCAGAAAGCCAAGTAGGAGCCTGGCTGGATACGATAAAGATAGTTGCTGAACCGTACCCAAAAATATAGTGGAACTGAAGATGCATGGTTCAAATGCTTAGAGGTGAGGGGTCTTGGGAACAGGGGAAAATATGGAACTCTTCAGAGGGGACATGGCCAAGATATACATGAATACCATAGCTAAAAGGAATACAGACTGGCTGAGCACGGTCGCTTACATTTGTAATTCTAGCACTTCGGGAGACTGAGGTGAGAGGATTGCTTGAGTGCAGGAGTTCGGCACCAGCCTGGGCAATATAGTGAGACCCCATCTCTACAAAAAGCCAGGCATGGTGATATGCACCTTTAGTCTCAGCTACTTGGGAGGCTGAGGTGGAAGGATCATTTGAGCCTGAGAGATAGAGGTTGCTGTAGCCGAGATCGTGCCACTTTATTTCAGCCTGGTGACAGAATGAAACCCTGTCTCCAAAAAAAAGGAATACAGACTTATGAACCAAATCCATTAGGGTCCTTGCAACACTCTTTGAAACTAGAGCAAGGTTAATTTAAAACAAAAAGGTGCTACTTTATATGGTAGGCAGTACATTTTGGAAGATGAAATCTCAGCTGGTACAAGACAGATCAGTGAGTTTAGAAGGGGCCCAGACAGAGGTGTGAATAACAGAGTTAAGCATGGCAAGAGAGCCGCTAAGTATTTAGCCTTTGAGGCTAGCACCTAGGAAACAGAGCTCTGGGATGGCACAAGAATTTGGGCTAGTTGTCCTTTGGTCCAAGCCACACAGACCCTTAGGGTGCTAAAGGGGCCAGGTGCAGGGGCTCATGCCTGTAATCCCAGCATTTTGGGAGGCTGAGATGGGTGGATTACTTGAGGTTAGGCGTTGGAGACCAGCCTGCCCAACATGTGAAACCCAGTCTCTACTAACAATACAAAAATTAGCCAGCTGTGGTGGAACACATCTGTAGTCCCAGCTACTCAGGAGGCTGAGGCATGAGAATCACATGAACCTGGGAGGCAGAGATTGCAGTAAACCAAGATCATGCTACTGCACTCCAGCCTGGGTGACAAAGGAGACTCTGTGTCAGAAAAAAAAAAAAAATGACGCTGAAGGAAAGAGACCTAAACCTGCCAGTACTCTGAAAGGATCCATCCTTTTCCATCGCACGCTCTGGTCTCCAGCCCTTGCTCATGCTTAGCCTTCCTCTTCACGGTGCTATTCCTGTTCCTTAGGTTGGCTGTTGTCCAATGCGTTGCTGTTATCTGGAACTCCTACCTGTCCTGGAAGGCACATCGGCCCTAAGCCTACCTCACTCCATCATTTCCACTTTGCAGATTGGACCTGGAACAGTCAGACAACCTCCTCAAAGTGGGCACAGCAGTTTCCATGGGATTGGGTTGCCAGTCAGAACTTAAGAAGACTAGCACCCTGCCATTCCTCTCTTCACTCTAAAATGTACACTGACTGCTTTAGAGCCCTTTAAAATAGTCTTACTCCCTCCACATACTAAGCACTCTATGAATATCTGGTGAACTTCATGACCTTATCAACTTTACACCCATATCCCAGCAGATGCTACTCGTTCCCACTCTTCACAGACACATTTGTTACTCTAACCCTGCCCAGCGTTACTGTAGCTCCAGCTCTTTAGAAACCCCAGAACCCTTTATATGGTGCCTCAGCAAATATGTTATTAAATATGTAGTCTGGAATCTGCAGTGGTAATGAGTAAGTTTTTAAGCAGAAAACTATTGAGTCATTTCTAGAGCTGGAAAGAAGCCAAGAGACCACCAAGCCCAATGTTTTGGTTTTTTTTTTTTTTTTTTGAGATGGAGTCTTGCCTGTCATGGAGTGCAGTGGCACGATCTCAGCTTGCTGCAGCCTCTGCCTCCTGGGTTCAAGCAATTCTCCTCCCTCAGCCTCCCAAGTAGCTGGGACTACAGCTGTGTGCCACTACACCCGGGTAATTTTTGTATTTTTAGTAGAGATGGGGTTTCACCATGTTGGCCAGGGTGGTCTTGATCTCTTTGACCTTGTCATCCGCCTGCCTTGGCCTCCCAAAGTGCTGAGATTACAGGCGTGAGCCACGACGCCTGGCCAAGCGCAGTCTTTTGCAAATGAGGACCCTGAGGTTGCTAGAAGGGAGGTGATCTGTCCATACCAGGAGTTAGCAGAAACTTGAACCCAAATTTCTTTACTGCCTACCCAGTGATTGTAACCTGAAGGTCATGGGCAGAGTAATACTGCTAATGTGATTCCCAGGAGAGAAACTGAACTTTGCTAAACTACCACTTTGGGCAAACTCAAAAGCAGATGGGGCCAGCCATTTGTGGTCTGAAAGCACTCAGAGGCCAGAGGCCCTATTACATGGTGCTTTGGTCAGACAGCCCTAGAATTTGGATCCTGGGGCTGGAAAAAGATAAAGAATGCTGGGAGACTCTGGTTGTGGCAGACTGCCCCTCGATGGGTCCCACTGTGTTGGCTGAGTGCCAGCGGTGCACTCCTGATGCCTCCATTTGCATAACTGATAGCTGCGGGGAGGCAAGGGGTTCCAGTCACATAGCGTTCTCTGGCAACTCCTCAGGCCTTTCTAGAGGCAGAGGACAGGGTCAGCACCATGGACAGCCCCACGGTTCCCCCTCCCTTTCGTGTGTTGGAGAACAGACGACCCGGACTAGTCTGGTCTGGGGACCGCCCTAGTCACTGCTGGCTGTTCTAAGCAGGGCGAGGGACTCTTGTGGGTCCCAGAGCAGTCCTTATGTCCCAGCCGGCTTCTTGCTGCCCTGCGTCCAGTGCTGCTTCCAACGCTAGCCCCAGGGGCACAGAGGCTGGTGTCAGGAGGTGCGTCCCTCTGGGGGCTCGCCAGCCGCCAGACTCGAAGCTGTGGCTGTCATTGCTTCTACAATCAGTGCATGTTCTTCACTGACGTCAGTCGGAGCTGTCCTGGCGCTATATAAGGCTGGCGGCAGTCCCGGGACAGACCCTGTGTTCCCCAAGGCGCCTTCAGCCCGCCCCGAGGGACAGAAACTGGAGCTCCGTCTTGGACCGTACAAACACTCGCTGAAAACCTGTGAGTGGCTCAGAGCATCCGCCCAGCCTCCCCCAGCATCGAGACTCCGCTCAGCTCAGCCACCGCGCTCCTCTGGGAGGGAGGCTGGATGGAAGGGGTGGAACAGCACTGGCGCAGCGGCTGGGGCTGGAGGGCAGACTGCGGGCATTGGTCCCGTGGCCACAGGAGCCGCTGGGGGTCGCTGGGCTAGCGCGGGGAGGGGAGCGGCCCCCTGCACCTGCCGGGCCAGTGTGGGGTGGGGAGCGGCCCCCTTCGGCTGCCCCAGGCGCATCTCACCCTGCGCTGCCCCTGTGTGTCCAGGGCCAGCGGCACCATGAGGCAGGCGGGACGCGCGGCGCTGCTGGCCGCGCTGCTGCTCCTAGTGTATCTGCGCCCTGGGAGCAGCCAGAGGAGCCCCGAGGCGGCCGGGGTCCAGGCCCCAAGTCTGCGCTGGAGCCCCGGGGCGCGGAACCAGGGCGGCGGGGCCCGCGCGCTCCTCTTGCTGCTAGCGGAGCGCTTCCCGCGCCGCACGGGGCCCGGGACGACAGGGGAGCGGCCGCGGCGGGACAACCCTCCTCTGTCCATTGACCTCACCTTTCACCTGCTGCGGACCCTACTGGAGCTGGCGCGGACACAGAGCCAGCGGGAGCGCGCCGAGCAGAACCGCATCATATTGGACTCGGTGGGCAAGTGATGGGCCTGATTTGGGGCCGCGAAAACTTTGACCCCTTTCCCCCACCTCAGGGTTGGGACGCGGGGCAGAGCCACCAGGGCATTCTCTGCGTGGCTATTTTTTAATAAAAGTGCTGAAGAGCTGTTGGCTTCTGTCGTGGGGGTGCGGCAGTTACAGCAGGGTGGGAACCCGTGGGAAGGTGGGGCCCCTAGCCAGCGGGAGGGGAACAAGATGCGAGGGGGGTGGGGGAGGTTCCGGGAGAGCGGCTTTCAGCCAGGTGCCTGTGGACCCCAGGGCTCCCCAAATCCCCAGGACCTCAGAGGTCCTGGCACCACTGCCTTGCCCTCAATCCTCTTCCAAGTGTGCTGGGCTCACCAGTTCGCTCCTGGCATCACGGAGGTGCCCAATAGGGGTTCATTTGGCTTCCACCCCCCAAACGGTCTCAGGTTCCAGGAAGGGCAGGATGGTGGCGGGTCGCCTCCAAAGCCGAGAGTGAGGGATTGGGCAGCGAAAGGAGATGCGGGTCTGGGAGCTTGAATTCTTTATTAAGATCCTCCCGGGGCAGGCACTGAGCTGGGCTACTCCGCAGTCTCTGCGCAGATCCTCCCCGACCCTAGCGCAGGCTCTCGAGCAGAGTCGGGTAGGCGCAGACCTGTGCCCGGGAAAGAAGGATCAGTGAGCGGGTGCTGAGAAGGCGCCGCTCACTCCATCCCCTGCCACGTGGGTTTCTCCTCTACTCAGCCCACCGTGCCTGCCCTCCCAGTAACCCGGAGGTACGGTGGAGGTGGAGGAAAGTGTACTTTTCCGCCCTGGGGGATGTGTCTTTGTGGCTCCGGGGTGGGGTGGCACCGAGGACTGGGGGACAGTAACCGGGGGAGGGGACATGAGTGCACCAGCCAGGCCCCATTTCAAGTCACTCAGGCCACTCTCACCTTAAGGCCCATCCGGCCGCTCTTCCTCCGGCCCCGCAGTGCCCTCGTCTCCGTCCGGGGCCACTTCCTCATCTTCTTCCTCCCCGGAAGCGCCTGGGCCCAAGGAAGGCCTGGTGAGGTGGAGTCCCTGACTTTCCTGCCATTTTGCCCTCCTTGCCCCCATATGGAGGATCGGAACCCCAGTCCCGGTGGCCCTTGGCCGCCTCCCTCACCCGGCTGGAAGTCGATGGTCCGCAGCATTTCGGCCACGTGCTCCACGCTCACGGTGAATTGCTCCATGCTCTCATAGCCTGGCTCTGGCCGCCCTGTCAGCTCCACCTTCGACATAGCCCCGACCCTGCGGCGACCACACTGGGCTCAACTGGCAATGCCCCAGTACCCTCAAGCCCCTCCTCCAGCCAGTGGAGCAGCGCAGCCCCTCCTTTCCCTTCCCGCTGTGCCTACTCACTTATTGATCAGCTCCTTGGCCTGCTGCAGGGGAGAAAAGGAGGGTGAGAGTAAGCACTGGGCCAGCCTGGGCAAAGTCCCATTTCTTTCTCACCACAGTCCTGCAGGGTAGGTGGGAAGGCACATCCCATTTGGTTAAGGAGAAAACGAACTCAGAGGGGGTGAATTGCCCAAGGTGGTAGGGGCAAGCAGGTCCAAGAGACAAGACTTGAACCTGGATGTCCAGGTGCCAAGGCCCTGACTCCAGCCACTCTGCAGCACTGCCACCCTCCCCTAGAGCCCACCTGGAGGTAGAGCGCCATCTGTGGCTCTTCCATGGACTGTATGGCAGACTCCACCAGCTTAGAGGAGGCCTCCAGGTGATCTCCGTACTGACGGATGAGGCCACGAACACGCTGCAGCTTCTCCTCTTGTTCCCGGGCCAGTGCCTGCAGCAGCTCGCCCTTGCGCTCCTCCAACACTGCACACAGGCTCTCGAACCTCTGGTTTAACAACTGCTTCTGCCTCCGGCTATTGTCCTAAAAGATGGGGAGCAAGGACAAGGGAAGGTGTGGCTGAGACCCTGTGGCTGGGAAATCCCAGGGTACTGGGCCTGCTCCCCACTAGATGGAGCTCACAGAGAACCAAGACAGAAAGTGACCGGTTTGCAGTGCCACTGTTAGTGGCTGAGCCAGAATCCAGCCCAGATCTCTTCCATAATAAAAACACAATGTTTTAAAGTAGCTTCACTGAGTGCTGTCTATATCCCTAGCCCTGGTTTTCACTTGCATTATTCCATTTAATTCTCAAAAAGAGCCCATGAGGTAGCTGGTATACCATTATCATCATCACTGTTTTATGAGGTTAAACAAAACCAAAGCACAGAGAAATTAAATAACTGGATTAAAGTTTTGAAGCAAAGCTGGAATGCACACCCAGCAGCCTGGCTAAAGCCCATCCCACCACTCTCAGGACCCCAGAAACTTTCAGACCAGTTCGGCCACAGCAGTTCTCTTGGAAGGAATCCCGGGGTCTGCAGGGCAGCCAGTTGCTGTTCCCCCCTCCCTCCAGCCCAGGCTCACCTCGATGGTCTGGCACACTTCCTCCATCTGCGTGATCACTGCTTGCACACGGTCATTGCCTGCCACCAGCATCGCGATGCCATCGCTGAGCTCACTCTGACACACAAACAGGTCAGCACTCAGAGCTGGGACCTGGCCTAAGAGCTACACCCCTTACCCCAGCCAGGGTTGCCTAGAAGAGGGCTGTCCCCCTCACTCCATACCCCATGAGGGCATCTACAGAGATCTAGAAGACTTGAACTATCAAGAGGTACAGAAGCACATTCTAGGGATTCTGGAAGGAGGTGGAGAGAAGAAGCCCTCCACCACTAAGTGGGAAGGAACAGACAGTCTCCATCCACCAGATGCCAGGCACAGGGCTAGAAGCTTTATCTGTAGATTAATTTTTTGCATCAATTCTGAGAAATTCTTGACGATTATCCATTTGCATAATATTGCCTCTTCTCCATTCTCTTTATCCTCTCATTCTGGGAATCTGATTCTCACGCTCAATCTTCTCCTCTCCCAGAGATACACATTCTGTTTTGTTTTGTTTTGTTTTTCAGTCCTCTCATGCTGTTCACTAGTTCTGTTTTCAGACAAAGCTGTCATTTAATTCATCCAGGTTTTTTTGTTTGTTTTTTTTTTGAGATGGAGTTTTGCTCTTGTTGTCCAGGCTGGAGTGTAATGGCGTGATCTCGGTTCACTGCAACCTCCGCCTCCTGGGTTCAAGCGATTCTCCTGCCTCAGCCTCCCAAGTAGCTGGGATTACAGGCATGTGCCACCATGCCCGGCTAATTTTGTATTTTTTAGTAGAGATGGGGTCTCTCCATGTTGGTCAGGCTCTTGAACTCCTGACCTCAGGTGATCCACCCCCCTCGGCTTCCCAAAGTGCTGGGATTACAGGCATGAGCCACCTTGCCTGGCCTGATTTTTTTTTTTTTTTTTTTGAGAGACGGTGTTTCACTCATGTTACCCAGGCTGGAGTGCAATGGCGTGATCTCGGCTCACCGCAACCTCCGCCTCCTGGGTTCAGGCAATTCTCCTGCCTCAGCCTCCTGAGTAGCTGGGATTACAGGCACGCACCACCATGCCCAGCTAATGTTTTGTATTTTTAATAGAGACGGGGTTTCACCATGTTGACCAGGATGGTCTCGATCTCTTGACCTCGTGATCCACCCGCCTCGGCCTCCCAAAGTGCTGGGATTACAGGCTTGAGCCACCACACCCGGCCGATTTTTTTTTTTTTTAAGAGACAGTCTCACTCTGTCACTCAGGCTGGAGTGCAGTGGTATGATCGTTGTTCACTGCATCTCAAACTTCTGCCCTCAGGTGATCCTCCCACCTTGGCCTCCTGAGTAGGTGAGACTACAGGCACATGCCACCACTCCCAACTAATTAAAACAAAAAAACTTTTTTTAGAGATGGTGGTCTCACTATATTTCCCAGGCTGGTCTTGAACTCCTGGCCTTATCCTCCTGCCTCAGCCTCCCTCGTCACTGGATTTACAGGTTCCAGGCACCATACTGAGCCATCTGTTGAATGATTTATTTTATTTATTTATATATATATTTTGAAACAAGGTCTCACTCTGTCACCCAGGCTGGAGTGCAGTGGCTTGATCTCAGCTCACTGCAGCCTCAAACACCCGGGCTCAGGTGATCCTCCCACTGCAGTCTCCCAGGTAGCTGGGACTACAGGCACATGCCACTATGTCCAGAAAATTTTTTATATTTTCTTGTAGACAGGTTTCAACACGTTGCCCAGGCTGGTCTCAAACTCCTGGGCTCAAGTGATCCTCCCACCTCAGCCTCCCAAAGTGTCAGGATCGCCAGTGTAAGCCACCACATGGCTACACGGTTGTTTTTTGATATTCTATTATTGTTTGGTTTTTAACATTTTTTCATCTTTTTCTAAAAAGCATTTGATTCATAATGATTTCCAATTCTTTCATAATTCCAATATCTCAGTTCCCTAGCAGGGAGCGGGGGAAGGTCCTAAATCTGTAATTTTTGTTTCTGCTGATTTCACTCATGGAGTACATTTCTCTGTGCACCTTCAATTGTGAGCTAATATTTTGTTGATATTAATCTAAGGAAAACCTAAGGGCCTAAACTGAGCATATTTTCCGCCAGGCAGAATTTGCATTTGCCTCTGTTGAAAGCCAGGTGGCACAATTTACTGCTTTTGCTCCTGGTATCCATTTCACCTAGAGTCTTGGGAATCTTAGAGGCAGGTCCCCTCCTTTCAGGGGTTTGGAGGAGTATTCTGGTTTCTCTAGCTCAGTGACACTGCCAGCACTGGTCCTCTTGGAAATGCTGCCTTTTCTGTGCTTGCCACTCAGTCTTTTCTCCTTGCCCCTTCCCACCTCCACTGACTGCCTTTGCGTCTATGTGCTAGCAATTTAATTGGAAAATTCTGTTTTATGCAGAATCTAGTTGTGTGATAGTGATAGGACCCTGCAAGTATCTCACCCACCATACTGAAGTCTCTGTTTTCATCGATTATCTAATTTTATCCTTACAGCTACTTCCAGAAGTAGGCATTTTCATCCTCATTTTACACATGAGGAAAGTGAGGGCCTCAAAGGTCAAGTAACATATCTAGGTCACATACTGAGTCAAACACAGAGCTGGGGCCTTCACCCCAATCTGCTTGACTTTTTTATTTTATTTTATTTTATTTTATTTTATTTTAGAGATAGAGTTTCAGTCTTTCTGCTCAGGCTGGAGTGCAATGGCGCGATCTTGGCTCACTGCAACCTCTGCCTTCCAGGTTCAGGTGATTCTGCTGCCTCAGCCTCCTGAGTAGCTGGGATTACAGGTGCCCGTCACCACGCCCGGCTAATTTTGTATTTTTAGTAGAGATGGGGTTTCACATGTTGGCCAGGCTGGTCTAGAACTCCTGACCTCAGGTGATCTGCCCACCTTGGCTTCCCAAAGTGCTAGGATTACAGGTGTGAGCCACTGCTCCCAGCTTAATCTGCTTGACTTTAAAACTAACTAGGGTAACACTTTGGGAGGCTGGGGTGTCAGAAGTGTTTGAAACAGAGCAACTCCATCTTGAATAGGGGCTGAGATACTGGGCTGCATTCACAGGGGTTAAGGCATTCCAAGTCATAGGATGAGATACAGGTCATACAGACCTTGCTGATAAAACAGGTTGCAGTAAAGAAGCCAGTTAAAACCCACCAAAACCAAGACGCCAATGAGAGTGATCTCTGGTTGTCCTCACTGCTACATTCCCATTAGTGCCATGACAGTTTATGAATAGCATGGCAATGTCAGGAAGTTACCTTCTATGGTCTAAAAAGGGGAGGCGGGCCGGGCGCTGTGGCTCAAGCCTGTAATCCCAGCACTTTGGGAGGCCGAGGCAGGTGGATCACGAGGTCAAGAGATCGAGACCATCCTGGTCAACATGGTGAAACCCCATCTCTATTAAAAATACAAAAAGTTAGCTGGGCATGGTGGCACGTGCCTGTAATCCCAGCTACTCAGGAAGCTGAGGCAGGAGAATTGCCTGAACCCAGGAGGCGGAGGTTGCCGTGAGCCGAGATCGCGCCATTGCACTCCAGCCTGGGTAACATGAGTGAAACTCCGTCTCAAAAAAAAAAAAAAATAAATAAATAAATAAATAAATAATAAATAAATAAAAAGGGGAGGCACGAATAATCCACCTCTTGTTTAGCATATAAGCAAGAAATAACCATAAAATGGGCAACCAGGCTGGGTAGCGTAGCTCATGCCTGTAATCCCAGCACTTTGGGGGGGCTAAGGTGAGTGGATCACCTGAATTCAGGAGTTCAAGACCAGCCTGGCCAACATGGTGAAACCCCATCTCTACTAAAAATACAAAATTTAGCTGGGCGTGGTGGTGGGTACCTGTAATCCCAGCTACTTGAGAGGAGACAGGAGGATCGCTTGAACCCAGGAGGCAAAGGTTGCAGTGAGCCAAGATCATGACATTACACTCTGGGCCACAAGAGCAAAACTCTGTCTTAAATAAACAAAAACAAACAAACAAACAGAAAAGGCAAGCAGCAGCCCTAGGGGCTGCTCTGTCTATGGAGTGGTCATTCTCTTATTCCTTTACTTTCCTAATAAACTTGCTTTCACCTTACTCTATGGACTAGCCCTAAATTCTTTCTTTTGCAAGATCCAAGAATCCTGTCTTGGGGTCTGGATCAAGGCCTCTTTCCTCTAACAGAGGCAGGAGGATAGCTTGAGCCCAGGAATTCAAAACAAGCCTGGGCAACACAGTGAGATCTTGTCTTTTTTAAATATTTTATTTTTGTTTTTGAGACAGGGTCTTGCTCTATCACCCAGGCTGGAGTGCAGTGGCACAATCATGGCTCACTGTAGCCTCAACCTCCCAGGCTCAAGTGATCCTCCGACCTCAGCCTCCTGAGTAGTTGAGGACTACAGGCATGCCAACATGCCCAGCTAATGCTTTGCAGAGACAAGGGTCTCACTATGTTGTCCAGGCTGGTCTTGAACTCCTGGGCTCAAACAATCCCCCTGCCTCATCCTTCTAAAGTATTATTAGCACTACTACTAAGTGTTATTTTTAGTAGTATCCTCCCAAAGGATTACAAGTGTGAGCCACTGTGCCCTGCCTGAGACCCTGTCTCTATAAAAAATTAGCTGGGCATGGTGGCACATGCCTGTAGTCCCAGCTACTTGGGAAACTGAGGTGGTAGGGATCATCTGAGCCCAGGAGTTCAAGGCTGCTACAGTGAATCACAATCACAGCAGTGCATTCCAGCCTGGGCGACAGAGTGAGACCTCCCTCCCCAAACTCTTTAAACAATAAATAAATGGGGCTGGGCGCAGTAGCTCAGGCCTGTAATTCCAGCACTTTGGGAGGCCAAGGTGGGTGGATCACATGAGGCCAGGAGTTCAAGACCAGCCTGGCCAACATGGCAAAACCCTGTCTCTACTAAAAAAAAATTTTAAATTTTAAAAAGCTGGGCATGGTGGCACACACCTGCAATCCTAGGTACTGGGAAGGCTGAGGCATAAGAATCACTTGAACCTGGGAGGCAGAGGTTACAGTGAGCCAAGATTGCACCACTGCACTCCAGTGCACTCCAGCCTGGGCGATGGAGACTCCATATCAAAACAGACAGATAGATAGATAGATAGATAGATAGAGCTGAGTGCAGTGGCTCACACCTGTAATATTAGCGTTTTGGGAAGCTAAGATGGGAGGATCGCTTGAGTCCAGGAAATCCAGGCTGCAGTAAGTCATGTTTGTGCCACTGCCCTCCAGCCTGGGCAGCAGAGTGAGCTCCTGTCTCTAAATAAATAAATAAATACAACCAAGTGGAGTAAGAGGCTGACACCAAGACCCTGTCCGAAGCCCCCATCTCCCACGTATCTGCCCCCTCCTGTTTGATACCTTCTGGCGCTTGTAAATGGTGGGCAGTGGGGCCACCTCACAGTCCTTGTGGGCACCAAAGACCTTGCAGAGAGAGCAGGTGGGCACCTCACAGCTCAGGCAGTAGATATTGATCTTCTCCTCTTCATGTTCCTCACACATGAGGTGCTGCTCAGCCTTGGAGTGTAGCGGCCTAGAGAGGAGTGGGCGGGGGGAGGTGGACCTCAAGCATGAAGGGCCCCAGGAGCACCTTCTCTTCAGCCTCCACCAACCACCACCACATCCTCTGCCCCTCAGGCTAGAGCTGTGGCTGAACTGCTGAGTACTTCCACAGAGCTCTGAACTTGGGGAACAGAAGGAGCTAAGAGACAGAGGAGGCCTGGATCCGAGAATAGTCTGTATTCCAGGGTGCAGGAAAGTCCCACAGGACAAGAAGGGCTGGTGAGGATCTTGCTGGTGGACTGCCAGCCTCTCCCGGAAGGAGAGGGTAGGGGTGATTACTGGGCAGGGAATCAGAGACTGCCCTCTCTGGGAGGCCTGAGGCAAGTCCCTCCCCGCTCTCTGGATCCAGTCCTCTCATCTTTAAACAAAACAGGCAGGTTGACTGTTTCAGTCTCTCCCTTCTCACCCTGATGGGTTCCTTAGCTGTGTCCCAAGCCCTGCCATTTAGAGAGGCAAGAGGCCCTGGCAGCTCACCTGGATGACTCCTGCTTGTAAATGTCGATAATGTTCTCCACCAGCAGGTTTCGCTGCAGGCCGTAGACTCCGTGTCTGTCCAGGACAACCTCATGCCTGCAGGATGGGCAGCGGAAACGGCCTCCTGAAGACACGGTGGTGGAGCCCCGGGACTGCCACAGAGGATTCGAGGCCTGAGGGACAGATGGCATGAGAGAACAGGCATGAGGAGGTATGGGGGAACTCGGAGGAGACAGGGTGGAAGGGCTTGGGGGCTCGGGAGTAGGAAAATGGTCAAGGGGTAGACGTCAGCTCTTCTCTGTGGCTCATTCACCTGAGAGCAGCACGGGGTGGATGGCCATGGAGACCCTGCTTCCCACCTTTGCCTCATTACTCAGCCCACTTCCTAGAGTGCCCCTGCATCCAGAGCCCAGCTTTGGCCAACTGCCTAGTCAAGATGGGATCATTCCAAAGGGGCCCAGCTTGGAGCCACGAGGAGACATTGGCCTTGGCAATAAGGTCGAGGCAGAAAGTGGACTCTGAGTGATGCAGCCAGTGTCTTCCAGTCTGGGGCCCTCTTGGGCCACATCTGGGGAAGACTCTCGGCAGTCCTGGGCAGGGGTACAAGCAGAGACAAGCGTGAACAATGGGGTTCACAAAGTGTAACTAGCCCAGTGATTCTAGAAAATTGCTCCAGGAACTGGGAGTCAGGAGTCATGGGTTCTTGTGCTGTCTCTGATGTCTTTTTTTTTTTTTTTTTTTTTTTTTTTTCTTGAGACAGAGTCTCTCTCTGATGCCCAGGCTGGAGTGCAGTGGTGGGATCACAGCTCACTGCTCATCATAGCCTCGACCTCCCAGGCTCAAGGAGTCCTCCCATCACTGCCTTCCGAGTAGCTGGGACTACAGGTATGTGCCACCATGCCCAGCTAATTTTTTTATTTTTAGTAGAGATGAAATGTCCTTATGTTGCTCAGGCTGGTCTCAAACCCCTGACTTCAAGTGAACCTCCCGCCTCAGCCTCCCAAATTGCTGGGATTATAGGCATGAGCTACCACGCCCAACCTCTTAACTATATAACTTTAGGCAGGTATTCAACCTCTGTGAAACTGAGGATAAAACTAGATTACTCATTTTATATCAAATAGCGAGTGTGCCAGGTAGTTGCTAGGCTCTTAGTTAAAGACACAAAGAGAATGCATTCCTGCCCTAAGGACGAGCACCTGACAACTACATCCAGCAGAATGGGTGTTGTAATGGGGTAAGCTCAGAAGGAGGACTTAACAGATAGCTGTCACTTCTTCCCACTTAGATCTCTTTCTTAGAGAACTTGCTCCATCCTATCCTAGAAGGGAGATCCCTGCCACAGATGATTGGTTCAGAGTTAAGGAGGTGATCATCTGACTCAAGCAGAACCAATCAAATGTTGTCTCCTAAGAATTTGGACTTGAGACTCAGAAGCTTAGCTGGCTACACCGTGTGCTGCCTGCTTAGGAACTGAACAGACCTGTGGAATTGGGCCAAAAGTGACATCACAGCCACCCTAGAAAATGTGAGGGGTCTATGAACAGAGAAGGCTGGCCTACAGAAAAGAGAATCTACGTGTGGGCAGATGCAGAGACTGCTTATTGTTCCCTGATGTTTACCATCTTTTCTTCTTTAATAGTAAGGGCCGTGAGTTTTTGTTGTTTGTTTGTTTTTTGAGACGGAGTCTCGCACTGTCACCCAGGCTGGAGTGCGGTGGCACAATCTCGGCTCACTGCAACCTCCGCCTCCCGGGTTCAAGCGATTCTCCTGCCTCAGCCTCCCAAAGTGCTGGGATTACAGGCGTGAGCCACCACGCCTGGCTGGGCCCTGAGTTTTAACAAGACACATGGTATAAAGGGCTGGGTGTGGTGGCTCACGCCTGTAATTCCAACATTTTGGGAGGCTGAGGTGGGCATATTACTTGAGCTCAGGAGTTTGAGACCAGCCTGGGCAACATAGCGATAACTCATCTCTACTAAAAATAAAAAAATTAGCTGGGCATGGTGGCACGCACCTGTAGCCCCAGCTACTCTTGAGGCTGAGGCAGGAGAACCGCTTGAAACCAGGAGATGGAGGCTGGAGTGAGCTGAGACAGTGCCACTGCACTCCAGCCTGGGCAACAGAGGGAGACTCCATCTCAAAAAAACAAACACACACCTGTAATCCCAGCACTTTGGGAGGCTGAGGCAGGTGGATCACAAGGTCAAGAGACTGAAACCAGCCTCGCCAAGATGGTGAAACCCCGTCTCTACTAAAAATACAAAAATTAGCCAGACGTGGTGGCAGGCATCTGTAATCCCAGCTACTCGGGAGGCTGAGGCAGATAATTACTTGAACCCGGGAGGCGGAGGTTGCAGTGAGCCGAAATCATGTCACTGCACTCCAGCCTGGGTGATAGAGTGAGACTCCATTTCAAAAAAAAAAAAAAAAAAGAACAAAACTTAGGCCAGGCTGTGCATGGTGGCTCACGCTTGTAATCCTAGCACTTTGGGAAGTGAAGGATGGCTTGAGTTCAGAGTTCAGGAGTTCAAGACCAGCCTGAGCAATACAGTGAAACCTTGTCTCTACAAAAAATAGAAAAAATTTGTCAGGTGGCTCATGCCTTTAGTCCCAGGTACTTGGGAGGCTGAGGTAGGAGGATTCCTTGAGCCCAGAAAGTCAAGTCTGCAGTGAACTGTGATCACACCACTGCACTACAGCATGGGTGACAGTGAGACCCTGTCTCAAAAACAAAACACACAAAACAACAACAAAAAACCCTTAGACCTAATATTTATTTATCCAAGTCTCAGGCAAAGGCAGTTTTTTTCTTTTTAAGTAAAAGGGTAATGAAGGAACAAACCTCAAACCTTCACAGAGGAAAGAAACTACAGCCTGAAAATCAACTATGCAACTGTGGACTAAAGCTATTTAAGCAAAGATAAACAAAAGATGACTCATCAAATTAAAACCCTGTGTGCCATGGAGCTCTATAAGGGCCCTCCTTTCAACCAAAATGACCTGGTTGTCTGTGAAATGGAGTGGAAATAGCCCAAATCTCAGGGGAGACCTCCTCCCATGGACCTGTGTGTGTGCCTCTACGGTAGATAAGTCACTGGATTCTGCCTGAAAAATATTCTGAGACAACATAACCAAATGGAGACACTCAACTCAGGTCATACCCCTGTATTCACCAAAGAAGGCAAAGGACTAAACAGAGATTGCAAACCAACAACAACATGTGACCAGGCAGCTTATGCTGAAGAGAATAGTGAAAGAAGGCCAAGACAAACACAGCCGGTTGAGTCAAGAATTCACCTTCAGCCCCAGATTAAACTACCCTGATAAAAGAGGAGTGATAAGCAGACAGAATCCAACAAAAGATGCAAACCAAGATAAGACAAAAAGAAAAGGAAAAAGAGGCTTGACAAGCAAGGGACAGATTAATACCATTTGGAAGAAGAAATACTCCAAGAATCAATGCCATTTTGATCTAACATTTTTAAAGGAGTAACAGAAACAAAGAGATATAAGTGATCAAAGCTGGAGAAGAAAAGAGAGCTGGCAGAATTAAGGAAAGAAATCAAGTAAATATCAGGCTGGGTGTGGTGGCTCACACCTGTAATCCCAACACTTTGGGAGGCCGAGGCGGGCAAATCATGAGGTCAGGAGTTCAAGACCAGCCTGGACAAAATGATGAAACCTGTCTCTACTAAAAATACAAAGAATTAGCTGGGCATGGTGGCGGGCACCTATAATCTCAGCTACTCGGGAGGCTGAGGCATGAGAATCACTTGAACCCAGGAGGTGGAGGTTGCAGTGAGCCAAGATCACGCCACTGCACTCCAGCCCAGGTGGCAGTGTGAGATTCTGTGTCAAAAAAAAAAAAAAAAATCAAATAAACATCAACACAGAAAATAAATCCACATTTGACACAGTAGACTAGATGATGCTGATAAAAGTCAGATAGATTGCAACAGAAATTATCAGCTAAAAGTAACCAGGACTGCAGCCTGTAGCATGAATAAACCTTGAAGACATTATGCTAAGCAAAATAAGCCAGACACAAAAGGACAAATATTGTATAATTCCTCTTAAATTAGGTACCTGGCATAGGATGGATGGTGGTTGCCAGTTGCTGGAAGGAGGGGGAATAAGGAGTTATTGTTTTAGGGATGTGGGGTTTCAGTTTGAGGCGGTGATAAAGTTCCAGAGATGGATAGCTGGGTGTGGTGGTGCACACCTGTAGTCCCAGCTACTCAGGAGACTGAGGCAGGAGAATTGCTTGAATCTGGGAGGCAGAGATTGTAGTGAGTGGAGATCATGCTACTACATTACAGCCTGGTGGCGGAGTGAGACTCCTCAAAAAAAAAAAAGTACTGATGACAAGCATGAAGACTGGAGGTGGTATGGGATGGATGGTCAAGATTTTTATGTGTGTGTGTGTGTTTTTTTTGGAGGGGAAGGGAGGGAGTGGAGGAAGGTGGGGAAGAGGAGAGAGGAGGGGGAGGAGGAAGGAAAATAGGATTTTTATGTGTTTTTATCTTATTTTTATATATTTATTTTTCTTTTTCAAAACCACGATCAGAAGAATACTTTTTTTTTTTTTTTGAGAAATAGTCTCTCTCTGTTGCCCAGGCTGAAGTGCAGTGGTGCGATCTTGGCTCACTGCAACCTCTGCTTCCCAGGTTCAAGTGATTCTCTAGCCTCAGCCTCCCGAGTAGCTGGGACTACAGGCGCATGCCACCACGCCTGGCTGATTTTTTGTATTTTTAGTGGAGATGGGTTTCACCATGTTGGCCAGGATGGTCTCAAACTCCTGAGCTCAAGCTAACCACCTGCCTTGGCCTCCCAAATTCTGGGATTACAGGTGTGAGCCACTGTACCCAGCCTAAAAATGAGTGCTTTAAAATAAAAACTATTATAGTACAGGTGGTACACAGCTATGGCAAACATCAGGAAGGTGAATTAAGAATGAAATTTGCGGGCCGGGCGCGGTGGCTCAAGCCTGTAATCCCAGCACTTTGGGAGGCCGAGGCGGGTGGATCACGAGGTCAAGAGATCGAGACCATCCTGGTCAACATGGTGAAACCCCGTCTCTACTAAAAATACAAAACATTAGCTGGGCATGGTGGTGCGTGCCTGTAATC